TCAAACGTTTTAAAATAAAACGATCAAGTACTCCAACCTATTATTTAAGCCGACATTGCTACTAAAAAATACAATGATAAATAGAATATTTCGAGAAATTCTATACAAATCGAACGGGGCGTTACAGTTTGGTCCTCTCTTTCTCCGATCTGAATTTCCATCAACTCTCCGTGTGGTTCGAGATCACTCCCCCTCGGCCTTTTTTCGTTCGATCCCGACTTCTTTCCTTCTTTTACCTCCGTTCGTTGGTTCATTTTTACCGCTATCTGGTAACATGCTCTGGATAATTTTTTATCTCCTCGAGCTTCTCCCACCCGATCTCCGACTAGAAATTTCAACTTCATATGGTAAGTTGACACCACAGCTTGGAAAGTGGTCAGTGCTGGTCTCCCGAGGATCACGTTATAAGCCGATTCGACTTCGACCACCACGAATCTTATCATCTTCACCTTTCTCAAGTCTCCTTCCCCTAGGACGACGGCAAGCGTGGTCTCTCCTAAGGGCGTGACCTCCGAGCCATTGAACCCAAAAATAGATGTGTGCAAGGGTGCTAGTTCGATGTCGAGATCCATCCTTTTGAGACAGTCATGAAAGATCACATTTATCGAGCTTCCAGTATCGACGAAAACCCTTTGCACCTCATAGCCCGATACTTGGGCGGTTATCATTATAGCATAATTGTGAGGCCTCTCGACCTCTCCTACATCCGCCGGCCCAAAATTCATCACCGGACCCCCGTTATCGACTTGGTGTATTTCGACTTTGGCATGCTTTCCTCGAGAGTACGCTTTTCTTGCACGGTTTGAATCACCGTTAGTCGGCCCACCAAAGATCATGTGAATTATTTTTCTTTTCAAGGGGAGCTCATCCTGGTGATCTTGTCCTCTTGCGAGGACTCTTACTCCTTTCTTTCCTTCGACTTGTCCTCTCTCGATCTTTGTATATGAACTCTTTCAAATGGCCGGCCTTTATCAATCTTTCTATCTCGTCTTTGAGGTGCCTGCAATCGTCAGTGTTATGTCCGTAATCCTTGTGGAATCGACAATATAGGTTGCTCTTAGGCCTCGTTGGCCCGTCATTCCTTGTCTTGGGCTATCTTACCACATTATCACGAATCTCCCTTTCTATAACTTCTAGGATCCTAGCTTGTGGGGCCACCAGAGGGGTGTAATGAGTTGGCCTCCAACTTCTAGGTCGTCCCTCCCTTTCTGCTCGCGGGGACCCCTTTCTCTCTCCAGTCGAGGAAACTCTCTTTTCTTTTCTCTCGTCTCGGGGGTCTATTTTAATCGTCTTAGCCGACTGTGAGAAGTTGGCCTCTGCGTCCTCGACGTTCATGTATTTCGCACACCTCCCTAGCACCTCATCAAACGTTCTACCGGGGAGCTTAGCCAAAGAGTTCTTACACAAGCCTGGCAATAGCCCTCGGGTCAAGCCCCCCGCCTTTATTTCTTCTGATGCGCTGGGCACCTCGACGCATGCCCGTGTATATCTCACCACATAATCCTGTAATGACTCACCTTCCTTCTGTTGTATACCCATCAGTGTTAAATACGACTTCTCTTGTGGCCTGACACTAGCAAATTGGTTGAGGAAACTCGAGCTGAACCCCTCGAAATCCTTGATAGCTCCTGCTGGTAACCAGTGGAACCAGTCCTGAGCGAAACCTCGTAAAGTTGTCAGGAAAGCTCGACATTGCACTGGATCGTTGTAGCGATGGTGCACCGCCATATTCTCGAAACTCCTCATATGTCGAGATGGGTCGGTCGACCCGTCATAGCTTATGTTTAAATCACGGAAGCCTTGTGGTAGGTCAGCGTCGAGGATATGCTGTGAAAACGGATGTCCTCTCGAGCCGCCGGTTTTTCTCCCCTCGACCCGGGCTTGCAAATCACACACTTGGGCCAGCAATTGCTCCAGCGTTTCATCCCTTGCTTGCGGGTTAACAGTCCTGATAGAGGAAGCCTCCTACTCTGCCCTCTTATTCTGCCTCTCGTTGGACTGGGCCTGCTGTTCGCGTTCGATGTTTGGTTGTTCGATCCTCAGTGGCTCGACCCTAGGTTGCACGGGCTGACCTTGCTTCAGCTGAGCTGCCACTGCTTCCGCTATCATCCTTTGCATCTCATCTCTCGTCATTGTTACCGTTTGCTCCTCGACCCGAGATCGAACGAGCGTTTGTTCTGGCCCTTCCAGGATTTGCTTTCCCGCGCGTCGAGACATCTCCGTTGGTTCTCCTCCACCCGTATTGGGGTTTTGGCTTGCTCCTGCTGAGGTCAACACCGGCACCTTCACTCCGGGCGAAGTAGTAGGCGTTTTTCCACCCAGATTCACTCCCGGAGGTGGAGGTCCTCCAAACGGTGGTATCCCCAGTACTTGCATCACCGGAGGTCTAGGAGCGGAGAGAGAAGGCGGTCTCCTGTCCGTCCAGGCTCCCCTAAATTCCTCGTTCAAATTCCTCAGCAAACCTTCCTTCTCAGCTATCGGCGACAGATTGGAGCTAGGTGCGAAGCTCTTAATTCCTTCAAGAACTCCGCACAGACGGCGCCAAAATGATGGGTCTCTTCCCAGATCTGGAACAAACTGATGAAAGTGGGCTCAGATCTAGAACGAACCGATGAGAATAGGCCCAGATCTGACTCGATAGCCTCCAAACCGTTGCTGAACCGCGAGAACACCTGCAAGAAACTCAACACCGGAGGAGTTTCCGACGTAGAGCCTCCGACGCTCAAGTTAGTATGTGAAGGAGATAGAGAGAGCTGCTCTGAGAGAGCAGCAACAATAATGGAAGAGAGTATGGAATGAATGGGAGAGTTAGGGTTTAGGGCTACCTCTTCTTCTTTATATAGGAGGGAGAATTTACCTGTGATGCCCAAAATGCCCCAAGTCGGTGATCCTAAAAAGTCCAAATTGCCCCAGTCAAATCATCTCCCCTCCTTGCTGAATCATCCTCCAGATTCCTTCTTATCCATAGATGGACAAGGGGTTCTAATGAATACGCCAAGTGTATGGAATCGACTGCATGCTTTATGTGTCGAGGTATGGGGCGTCGACCTCGAGTACCCCTTTAACAACTCATGTTCTTACTGTTCGGGGGTCATGTTCCTGTAGATTCTCGCATATATGTCGACTTCTAAGAAGGTCGACCGACTCAAGTCGACCTTTATGAATCGACCTGTACAGGGTCTACTTTTCTGATACTCTGTTTTACGGCTGGATCGACTTTGAACGAAGTCGACTTAAGCATCCTCTCGTCCCGAGTCGATGCGCGGGAGGAGTTGATAACCTTCAATTCGAAGAGAGAGAGACTTTGGATCGGTATATCTTTATAGGGCTGTATCACCTATAAAATATGGAAAACTAAAAATATAAGTAGAGAAGGGATCATATGAGAAAGGGAGTTAGTGAAAGAAATAAGAATGATTTTGGATCATTGGATCACTCAAACTAATGGTCATGATCAAGTCAATACTTAATAAATCATAGTCCAACTTGGTGTTATATCTCTGCAAGTTGTGGAAGATGGATTGATGGGAAGTGAAATATTGCAGAAGAAAGATGAAGGTGAGAGAGGCGTGATCGGATTTACAGAAATGAGACAGAAGATAGTATTTGCTCTGAAAAAGGGAAAAGTCATGTGGAGCTGACGCATGGCTATAAAGTGACCATGGATCTTGAGGGAAAAAAGCTCGATCGAGCTGTACACGTGGAAGTCAACAAAGAGATGTGAATGACTCTTTATTAGTATTGTTGCTATTTACATTTTTGCTATTTATGTTTTAATAAGGGATAAGTTAGTAAGAATGAGTTTTGGATTTTTACCCATATGGAGAAATTATATGGGCCATGTGAAGTTCTTTGTAATGCCCCGGTTGTTTATAAATATTTTGGGATGAATTATATTTGCGTTATTATTATTTTTTATTATTAAATGTGTATTTATCTAATTACTTATTTATAATAAATTTTTATTGTGTGAATGATATCTATGTATATTATCCGGTTTTAATTTTATTTTAATCTGTGTGTTCGAACCGAGCCTCGAGTATTATTCCTAAGTGTTGGAACCGAACCGAGGGACCCAGCCCGCATGTATCACACCCGCGCCCCTCTGCAAGAAGGCCCCCACGCGCCTAGACTGTACCCGGTCCCTCTCTCTCCCTTTTGTTGCTTGATGGCTAAGTAAGGAAGGTTAGATAACCCTAGCCGTATAAATACAAGAGACTCCCCCCTAAATTGTAAAAACCCCGCAGCTCCTCACAATCTCTCACTCTCAAATATCTCACGCAATCTCTCTCTCTATCCATCCCTCTCTGGCTAATATCCGGTCATCACCATCTCGATCGCAGCGCGTCGCCATCGCGATCATCGACTTCCCATTTGCTGCTCGCGTACAACTCCCAGCATAATCTCACTGTCCCGTTGTGCCCTCAGTACCAGCGTTCATCACCCGTTGTTCGTCGCTCGTTTCCCCTGCTCGCGTATTCTCTATGCGCGATCGCCATACACTTGTTGCCACTGATCGTGTCGTTTTCCAGTGCACCGTGCACACGCAGACCACCCGCAACACGTAAGACAACCCTGCGCGAGCCACGCCATGCTGTCGAGCACTGAAGACCGCACTGAAGTGACCCGTTCAGCCATCCCTCGTACGTTTTGAGTACTTTTCCTTGAGAACGGTACACATGGATGAATCCCTTCTATTTTGATGTGCTAGTATGTTATAAGTTGGTGCCTTAATAGGATTAGCATGATAGGGTGTTGTAATAATTTGTTTATGTGTATTGTGAATGTGGCTTGTTGTTGCGCTTATGTTAAAGCATGCTATGTGTCGTAACCTTCCCTCGTTTATGTGTTTTATTATGAGATATTTGGTGTTGGTTTGTTGGTATGAGTTGCTTTTGATATTAAGGTTAGCTTAATGGAGTTCATTGATATCGTATGTTTAATCTCATTATTAGCTGCTCTGTTGTGCTGCTATTACGTAACACCCCGCCTTACTGGCTTTGAAAAATCAGAGTAAAATTTTTGCTTTTATTTTCGAAAGATCGTGCCAGCTGGTTTTCGAAAATACTAACTTGTTGCTGGATGCTATAGATGAATACTTGCATATATTAACATGTAACCAAATCAATCCGCTACGGAGATGATGGAAACCATACATGCAGTATAATGTTTCGCACTGTCTAATTAAGAGGAAGCTAAAACGAGAGTATAAATAGTACACGCATACATATCCAAATAAAACATGATCATAATTTTAGGACATAAAATGTAGGTAAAAATGTCCTGGGTTCATGACCACGCTGCCACCTGTGCTCACCCGGCACGCTGGACCCCGTCATCTGAAAAACACAATAGGGGCGTGAGCAAACCACTATGCTCTGCAAAGACCAGTACTGAATAAGACAACATCGATAATAACATATCATGGCTAAAATGTATAAGAGCTGAAAATGAAAACTTGTTCTTGTATATGTGGTCTCAAAGACCCTTATCGGTCTCGGCCGCTCATGTGCACATACCTGATAAAACTGGAGGCACTTACTTCGGCCCTTATTGGGTACCAGATGGAATAGGAAGGCCCTTGCTTCGGCCTCTCACCTGGGAGATCATACTATCTCGAACATACCTTAAACATGGTAAAGTAATTATTGATGATGTGGAACCCAGTACATGACCCCCACCTGGTATACTGAAAAATATCTATTGCAAGTGCTGAAATGCTGGGGTAGCTGTCGGAGGCTCGACTCTCCTTTAGCTACCAAAATTGATAAGAAAATATATCTAAGAAATTTGCTCGACTTATATAAAAACTGATAGAAAATGCTCAAATATGCAAAGAAAACACTAGGAGACCTCGGGTTAATATGAACATGGATTGGTAGGGCCGATATGGCACATACAAACCCTAAGTCACCGTAACAACTTCTCAAACTTAAGCATATGACTAAGGACGAATACTTTACACCATAAATCATAATTTTTTTAAGGCTAACATGATGGCATATACTCGTATGCATAATAAAAGGTCTCGGGGGTGAAAAATCGCATAAAATCATGAACTAGATGACCAGGTAAACGAACTCCAAACATGCTCAACTTTTTACGTCATCAAAAACATGATTTATAAGGAATATTAAGCTAGCAGTCTCGGCCTAAACATGCATGCTGTGAAAAAAATTGAATTTAAGCTTCATATATTCAAATTTTCGAAACTAAGGCTTGAACATGTACATACATGGATTCAAAGGATTTTATAAAATCGTCCACTTATCCTTTGAGGCTCAAAATTGGTAGAATTACTCATAATTCATGCAAAAATTTATACTAAAAATTTCACATAAAACGCGCATGTAGTTAGAAAGTTCTCTGGCCACAAAGTTCATCTCGACTTGCATTAGGTCTAATACATATAACTCACACATTTCTTATGATAAAATTATGAAATTTAGTATGCATGCTCTTAATTAATATAAAAACATGTCCATTAAGTTTCATAATTTTATCCTTATTAGAACTCGAGTTATTCGCGTTTAAAGTCGCAACTAAATACGCGCATGTAAAGTTCAATTTGCATGTCTAACTTTAAAAATCAATAACTCGAGTTATTTTTTATTTTTTTATCAAAACGATAGGCATCTCATAAAATAAAAAGAAATATAATGTCCAAGATAAGAACTACAATCGCATGAAATGAGAGACCTCTCAGACGAGGTCTACAAGCCAATAACTAGCATAGGCAGCACAAGGCTGAGGCCCTATCCTAGAGAAACAAATACACCACAAATCAGATGATAAACTGCCCAACTAGCCTAAATCATCTAACTGAAACAAAACAAACTAAATAACTGAAAATTCCTGCCATTCCCTGA